GAAATAGATCGTATCCATAGAGCTCTGGTCTTTGATCCTGACCCCTGATCATGACAACGGAAATAGATCGTATCCATAGAGCTCTGGTTCCTGTAAAAGTGGATGGGCCTCCTCAAGACATAATCATTAAACCCCATTTTTTTAAATTAAGGAGGCGGTGATGCGATACGCCACGGAACATCCAGATTTGGAAATCCATGGGCACAAGATTCAAGTCTTTGCAGATATTTCTCAAGCTACTATCCTGAAATGGAGGAAGTTCAAGTCGTTGCTTTCATCTTTAATTCAAAGGGACATTCGTTATCAATGGAAATATCCATTTTGCTTACAATTTACTTACAATGGCAAATCCTACGCCTTTTCTACATTTTCTGAAGGAGAGAAACTTGTTGAATCTGGGCTTTATTTCCCTTAGTCCTCCCCACAAAACCAGCCCAGGGTTGACGGCCCTCCTCCCCCGCTTTCACCTCTGTGGTACCCCTCTTCAAGGAAGAAGAAACCTGCTACTCCACGTTAGGTCCCTTGAGGAACCTGCTGGCTACTAGTTGATTTCTATTGGGCGGGGACCTCTACATGGTCTTGTTATGGGACATTGGCCTCCGCCCTTGTTCTTCTTTGAATTGTTATTCCAAATATTATGTTTTTAATTTTATTTCTTTTTACCTGTTTACTGGGTAGATTGGATATATGTCAGGTATTCTATTTCTCTGGGGTTAGGAACCTTTCTTATACATGTCTGTTACAGACCCCATGGTGCCGGGAAGCGTCTATGTGCTCTTCCTAATTGGAAGACTCTCCCCACTGCTATGCTTTGGTGGAGACTCTTCCAGTCCTTGACCTTGTGTCTGGGTTATTTGGTGTTTTACTGTTTTATGCTGCATATCGTTGTTTTACCACTTGAACTGACGATAGCCATTTTCTGGGCTTGGTGTCTTTTGTCTCTCCCCTATTTCTTCCTTATTTCCCTCACTTTTTTAAATTGTTTTTCTTTGAGGGTCATCTCGGGAATTTTTATTTGGTCCTGGATTCTCGATCTCCCCTACGGGGATGTGTGGGTCTCCCCATCACTGTCTTGCATTTTTCTATGTCCACCTTAAGACCAAATAGTGGCGTTGTTCCCTTACTCTCCCATAATGTGCAGGTTTGGGATTCCCTCTAAGCGTCTCATGGTTTTTTCTCGTTATAAGTCCCTGGAAGCTGATATAGTTGCTCTGCAGGAAACCCATTTTGTCTCCTCTTTCACACCACGCTATATTCATAGAGATTTCCCTGTGTGCTTTTTGCTAATGCATCTGACAAAGATCGAGAGGTAGCGCTCTGTTTGGCCCGGCGGTTATCCTTTACTGAATCTAAAGGATGCGAGACAAGGAAGGGCGATATCTATTGGTTAAAGGCCACTTGGGGGGAAACTTAGTGACTTTCCTGATTTACTACACCCCTAATGTGAATCAATTAGCCTTTTTTCGATCCCTGTTTAAATCTTTAGCTCCGGAACTGGAAGGTTATGTCATTTTTGGGGGATTTGAATTTGGCTTTAGATCAAACGCTTGATAAATCACGTGCAACCAAACTTGTGTCCCCCGAAACAAAGTCGCAAATTTGCTCAACCTTTATATTGCTATAATTTGGTGGATGCATGGAGAGAGGCCAATCCTACTTCTAGAGACTACTCTCATTTCTTTAGAGCTCACAAAGCTTCTATCAGAGGTTTTTGTATCCAACGAGCCTAAAGCAAGCTCGTGAAGAGTTGATCTCTGCCAAAACTAAGGAATACGAGGCTTTACTGGCCCAATGTAAAATGACTCCAACCCCCGACTTGTTACTTAAGATACAACAGGCTCATTTGGAGCTTAATCTTTGTCTCCCCCCAAAAACAGAAAAACAGCTACGATGGAGGAATCATAAATTCTTCACATGGCGAGACAAACCGGAGTGTTGAGAGAGACTTGGAGTGCTGCCCAGGGGCGGACTGACCATTTGGAAATGTGGGCACTTCCCGAGGGCCCGGGGTCAGTAGGGGGCCCCATGAGATGCCCCTGGTACCTTTTTCATAGGCTTTTTTGAGTTTGGGCAAGGACACAGAGGCCCCATGATCCCCTATTGCCCGGGGGGCCCCATGAGTTGTCAGTCCACCCCTGGTTCTGCCCATGTGCTGAGAGCTGCCACGTAGCCAGAGATGAACTGGGCTAAACTTGGGGATGATGGAGTCATGAGATGTTTGCCTAAGGATTGGAACCCCGTCTGTAACATACTGGAGTGAGAGTCCAGAGAGTGACTACAACACTGGAGTGACAGTCCAGGGAGTGACTACAACACTGGAGTGACAGTCCAGGGAGTGACTACAACACTGGAGTGAGAGTCCAGGGAGTGACTACAACACTGGAGTGAGAGTCCAGGGAGTGACTACAACACTGGAGTGACAGTCCAGGGAGTGACTACAACACTGGAGTGAGAGTCCGGGGAGCGACTACAACACTGGAGTGAGAGTCCGGGGAGCGACTACAACACTGGAGTGACAGTCCGGGGAGTGACTACAACACTGGAGTGAATGCCACCCCTCTGTCCAAGGTTTTGCTCACCTCCTCATAAAAAGAAATCAGATTTGTGTGACAACTTCTGTCTTTCATGAATCCATGCTGTCTGTGGCTTACAATATTTGTTTCCAGCAAGAACTCCTCTCTGTGGTCTTTTATTAAACTCTCCAGTATCTTTCCAACTATAGAAGTTACACTAACATCTCTATAATTACTTTGGAAAGATTTTGTCCCCTTTATAAATATTGGCCCCACATTGGCCTTACACCAATCCAGTGGTACTATGCCAGTCATTAAAGAGTCCCTAAAAATGAGAAACAATGGCTGTGAGATGACAGAGCTGAATTCTGTAAGGCCCCGTGGGTGTCTGCCATCCGGTCCAGGGGCTTTATTCACCTTTATTCTGTACAAATATTTCTGCATCATATCAATTGTGAGCCAATCTGGATCATCTGGGGGGTGTCAGTACCACCCCCCATTATGGACAAGAGCCCCCCATGTTCCTTTGTATACACAGAGCTGAAGAAGGGGTTTCATACATTGTCCTTCTCTTTGTCCCCCCCTCTAGATGGTTCTGTAAAGGGCCTACATGCTGGGACCGGACCTTTCTACTATTCATAGATTGGAGGAATGTTTTGGGGTCGTCCTGATATCTTTCTGTTGTTTGTTTTCAGTTTTTGTGCCTTTATTTCCTTTTTGCATCTTCTGTTCTATTCTTTGTAATGTGTAAACGATGATCGCGTTCCTTCATTGTTATATTTAATAAAAGCTCTTTTCTTCTTATCTATCGCTTTTGTAACTTTGGCCGTAAGCCACATAGGTTGGATTTGTAGCCTTTTATACTTGTTGCTCATGGGAATATATTTTGCAGTGTGGTCACATACAGTCTTTTTGAAGAACTCCCATTTCTGTGTTGTGTTCATCGATGCCAATATTCCCTCCCAGTATAAGTCTTGGAGAACAGCTCTCAGGCTTGGGAAATTAGATCTCTTAAAGTTGAGCATTTTTATTTTTCCCGTATGTGCTTGCTGTTTACAGCTAACAATAAATGAAATCATGTTATGGTCACTGCTACCCAGATGTTCTTTTATATGGACATTCGTAATAAGCTCTTCATGGTTGGAGATGACCAGGTCCAGCAGAGCATCATTCCTAGTTGGGGCCTCTATGAACTGGACCATAAAATTGTCCTGTAGTAGGTTTAAAAATGTTTGCCCTTTAACTGTTCCTGCAGTCCCATTACTCCAGTCACTATCCGGGTAGTTACCATCCCCCATTATTATCACTGTCCCAGCCCTTTCCATCTGTGGGAGGAGCTGAGTCTCCACCTCCTCATTAACACTGGGAGGCCTATAACAAACTCCAATGATGACCTTTGTAGTACCGCCCCCCCATGTGCAGTTCCACCCATAATACTTCAGCCTCATCACACTCTCCATCAACTAGGTCCTCTTTCACACTCGCTCTGAGATCACTTCTCACATAGAGACAGACACCACCACCTTTCCTATTTCCCCGGTCTCTCCGAAAGAGAACCTAGCCAGGAATATGAATGGCCCAGTCATGTGAGGAATGAAGCCAAGATTCAGCAATACCAATTCAATCCTAGTTCTCTTCATGCACCAAACCTTCCAACTCACCTATTGTGCTGGGCACACTTCTGGCATTGGTGAGCAAACACTTTCATTCACTGACACCTTGTTCATTTGACACCTTGTTCATTCACTGACACCTTGTCCATTAACTGACACCTTGTTCATTCGACACCTTTCCCATACACCGACACCTTGTCCATTCACTGACACCTTGTTCATTTACTGACACCTTGTCCATTCACCGACACCTTGTTCACATGGATTTTGTATATTTTTTTATTTTCATACACAAATGGTACCAATTCCACTGGTTATTTGTAACATGGGAACCTTCTTACCATCTGTCATAGCCCTCCCCCCATCTTTCCCCATTCCACCCCCCAATAAGTACTGACCCATCTGATCTGTCTTCCTCATTATAATCAAATTATCCCTCCCCCTCCATCCTAGTTTATATATTCCTCCAGCCTTCCCATAAACCCCTCCCCCAGCACAGCAGACCCCCTTCCAATTAGGTGCAAACCATCGCTAGCATATAGGCTGCACCCCAATGAAAAGTTAGCCCAGTGCTCTTGGTCAGGCCTCCATTTTTATTCTTACCCTGCTATCAATGGCCAACCCGGTCCCACACTTCATCCATGTCTTTGGGGACCTCTGATCTCCTTATGAACTGTTTCTTCCATGATGAAGATCAGCCATGGAGTATATCTGAGGTGTATATCAGGGTGTGCTTCTTCCCCACATGAGAGCTGGGATGTCCAGCAACATTCATCTAGAAGACATTTCCCGCACTCAAGGCACTAATACACCTCCAGGGTTGTGTGGGACCCCTGATGTATAGGAAACAGGACTTCAGTAAGGAACAATTCCCTCACTCAGGACAGGAAAGTGGCTTCACCCCCGTGTGAAGTCTCTGATGTCTGTGATGACTGGACTTATCTGAAAAACATTTCCTGCACTCAAGACAAGAATACGGCTTCTCCCCCGTGTGAGATCTCTGATGTGTGTAAAGATGGGACTTCCTTGAAAAACATTTCCCGCACTCAGGACAAGAATACGGCTTCTCCCCTGTGTGAGATCTCTGATGTGTTTGAAGAATGGACTTCTCTGAAAAACATTTCCTGCACTCAAGACAAGAATACGGCTTCTCTCCCGTGTGTGAGATCTCTGATGTGTGTAAAGATGGGACTTCCTTGAAAAACATTTCCCACACGCAGGACAGGAATATGGCTTCTCTCCCGTGTGAGATCTCTGATGTCTGTAAAGATTGGACTTCACTGAAAAACATTTCCTGCACTCAGGACAAGAATACGGCTTCTCCCTGTGTGAGATCTCTGATGTCTGTTAAAATGGGACTTAACTGAAAAACATTTCCCACACTCAGGACAAGAATACGGCTTCTTCCCCGTGTGAGATCTCTGATGTGTGTAAAGATTAGACTTCTTTGAAAAACATTTCCCACACTCAGGACAGGAATATGGCTTCTCTCCCGTGTGAGATCTCTGATGTGTGTGAAGATGGGACTTATGTGAAAAACATTTCCCGCACTCAGGACATGAATACGGCTTCTCCCTGTGTGAGATCTCTGATGTGTGTGAAGATTGGACTTCTGTGAAAAACATTTCCCGCACTCAGGACAGGAATACGGCTTCTCCCCCATGTGAGATCTCTGATGTTTATGAAGTATAGACATCTCTGAAAAACATTTCCAGCACTCAAGACAAGAATACGGCTTCTCCCCCGTGTGAGATCTCTGATGTGTGTAAAGAGTAGACTTCCTTGAAAAACATTTCCCGCACTCAGGACAAGAATACGGCTTCTCCCTGTGTGACATCTTTTATGCCTATTAAGTCTGGATTTATAACGGAAACATTTCCCGCACTCAGTACAGGAGAACCTCTTCCCTGTTGGAAGGCCGGCCTGGTCCCGCACAGTCTGAGGTTCCTCAGGATACGAGACAAAGACAAAGAGGATTACTAGACAGA